TATTCTTCAGTACAAATTAAACCCCTACACTGAACAAGAGAAAGTCTCAAACATTTATCAGCTACAGCAGCTCACTGCTCATTTTTGTGGCTCTCCTCTGGATTTGCTCCAACAGGTCCATGCCCTTCTTGGGGATCCCAGAGCTGGATGCAGCACTCCAGGTGGGGTGTCATGAGAGCAGAGCAGAGCACAGGGTGAGAATCACCTCCCTCAATCTGCTGGTCATGTTACTTTTGTTGCAGCCCAGGATATGGTTGGCTTTCTGGGCTGTAAGTTACACATTGCAGGGCCATGTCCAGCTTTTCATCCACCAGTATTCTCAAGTCCTTCTCCACAGGACTGCTGTCAATTCATTCATCTCCCAGTCTATATTGGTATAGGGCATTGCCCCAAGCCAGGTGCAGAACCTTGCACTTGGTGTTATTAAACTTCACGATGTTTGTACAGGCCAATCTTCAGGTCTATTAAGATCCCTTCCCTCATATGCATCACTCAGCTTGGTCTTATCCACAAACTTGCTGAAGGTGCACTCAATCCCACTATCTATTTCATTAATAAAGATATTAAATATTATTGGTCCAAAAACAGATCCCTGGAGGAACACCACTCAGCACTGGTATCTCTTTGGTTGTGGCCATACAATTCCCATTTCATCTAATAGTACATTCACCAAATCTACGTCAGTTTAGCAGCAAAAGTGTTGTGGGGGACACCATTAATGTCTTTACAGAAGCTGCAGGGAAGTAACATCAGTTACTCTTCCTTTGTCCACTGATGCAGTCACTCCATCACAGACCACTAGATTAGTAGGGCATGATTTGCCCCTGATGAAGCCATGTTGGCTGTTTTTAATCATCTTCATATAATCATCTTCCATCTGCTTTGACCTAACTTCCAGGAAGACCTGCTCCACGATCTCACTGGGCACAAAGGTGAGGCTGACTGGTCAGCAGTTCCCAGGGTCTGGGTGTGATACTCCCTCTCCCTCAGTCACTGAGGTTGTTACTGGTAATACTGGTATTCACACTGTGAACGGTAGTCACAGCTTGACTATCATGACTTTTCAAATATGATGGAGGATGGTTTAACAACTACACCTGCCAATTCCCTCAGAACCCTGGGATGTTTCTTAGACCAAAAATAACATCATATATATTCCAAGTCACTCTTGCATTTCAAATCTTTATGCACCTATTTGATACTCATTTCTTTTCCACTTTCTTGCTGCTGTTGGCAAACAGCCTTTAATGGGATTTTGATAAGAAAATTTCAACAGAAGAAAACACCCAAAACTACTCCACAAGTTATTTTATAGGTTTAATATTTATTTTATTTTCATAACTATTTTGATGGAGGAGGAAAAAATGTAGGATCAGAGGTTGGAAAGATGCAGGGGGCATATGGTATAATGGTTCTTTAACATTAGGACAGCCTGTAATTAAATCTTTGTGCCCTGAGACTACATTCTTTTCCTGCCTGTAGGTGGATGAATAATCAACACCACGCTGGCAAAGCATATCTCACACTCCCCTCTAGTGCTCACGGAACACCACCACCAGCCAATAGCCTAAGGGCCAAAGGCCCCTTGGTGGTCTGAACAGCTCTGCTGCTAACACAGCTGCTCCCAGTGTGATTCCACATAATTAAAGTTGGGGTTCTTAGTTTTATTGTAAAGGAGAATTAACATTAAGTTAAAAGTCCTCATTTTAGACAGGAGAGAATTTTTGAAGGGCTAGTATATTATTTTCCCCTTGTGCGCATGCATTGTATTACATCAATTATGAAATCATATGTGATCAGTGTACCTAATATGTGCATTGCAACATACATGCACCAAGGTTAACAAATTTGTCTATGTATCCTTGAATTCTAAACATCCTTTTACTAGGTCCTTTCCTACAGTGGCCATGCAGCCTGCATGAACTTGGAATTACAATCTTAAAGTGTTCTTCTGCAGATATAATTTCTGTCTGGACATGTACTACCTTAACACAGCGCCTGAGAGAATAAACTCCACCGCTGCTGAAACAGCAGCCTACTGAGACACAACACTTAGAACATATTTTCTCAGGCACCATTTCTCATTGTCATCACAATGCCCAACAACTTATCACAATAAATTGCACTTGCATATCACAGAAAAGTTATTCTCAACCTTAAAATGACAATGCCAACTCATAATTGTATTAAGAGTTGCAATAATCTTAAAATAACTCTAAAAATAAAATCTATACATGCTAATGAGGAAATATAATCAGCATAAAAACTATTACATGCCAGCTTTATAACTACAGTCATTCTAGCTAATTAAATGGCTGCAGCAAGGGAATACTTTGCTTCCTACAGGCATTTGGAAGTCTTCAAAACACTCTCAGGTGAAGAGAAACAGCAAGGAAGAGACTAACTTTGTAAGTCCTACAATTTGAGAAACACTCTTCCATCAATTTGTAGAAAGAGGGATGCCGTTCTCTCTCTCTGTAATTTCAGCCCTGAGTGTCCCTGGTGGTGCAGTGGCTAAACCACAGCGTTGTCAATGCTGAGATCTGGGTTCGATTTCCGGTTAGGACACTCCCCGGGCAGATGGAGCTCGCTAGCCCTGTAAGGCAATCCATCTACGTCCTGAGGACCTCGCTGCCACCGTCCAAGCTCGCTTGGCCCCGGCAGATGAACCTCAGGATTAAAGGGTGGGCTCAGTTCCGCGCACGCTGTGTCTCACCTAAAAAAAATCCAATGCGCAGGCTGGAAGGTGTAAAGACCTTCCCCGGTTCTTTGTTCGCGAAGAGACTGGCCATTCAATTTCAGCCCTTCATTTGCTTTATCCCTATCACCTGATACTTTAGAATTCAGGAATTTTGTGGGCAGGTAGAGACTCAAGTTTATTACTAGTACCCCAAAATTAGTAAAACATACTGAGCCGCTGCAAGCACAGCAGATGTGAAGATGGTAAAAGGAAAAGGATTCAGTATGACTGTGAATTGTAATTTAGTTCAATTTCTAAATAAAATAACACATCCACTGGGTTTTAAGGAGCTTCAAGAACAGATCTGAACCTGAAAACATAAGGTACCAGAAATACTGAAATACCACAATGGACAACTAAAGTAGCACATTCAGGAGACGATGAAGAGACAAGAAGACACGAAATAACTTAAGAGCACATGAAGTTTGGTATTAAACCTGTTTCCCTGGGGGATAGGATGTAAATGTAGCTTGGCTACCTCCCTGACAAGATATATCATTCACAGCTGATAAAACCTGGGAGAAAGAGGATAGTTGCAAAAAATGTTGAGAAAGGCTGGAAGACTTCAATAGTGGTAAAGAGGCCAAGTGAATTTATCTAGTTAACTTTCTGTTCCTGCAATGGGGTAGAAAGTGGAACATATCATTACCACCTTTTAAAATGCTACGTCTTACTTTGTGATAACTAAATCACGGGAACTAAAACAAAAGGATGGGAGGCCGAGCTGTGTAGGAAAAAAACCGAAGAAAACCCCACCAAACCAAAACTCCACCAGCAAACCAAAACAAGAAACAAGTAGTGGCATAAAACTGTAGCTTTTGCTAGGTCCAAATTAAAGTCAATGTTTCCTGTCCCCGACTTATTTTTTTAAAAAGCTTTCATGTTGAGAAGCTATGACAAATCATCAGCCTATGTAACATCAATGTAAGGGGTGGCTAGTAGATTTTCATGGAAACCTCCTTATATACCGGTAGTGATAATCCTGCTCTTTTCACCACTTCTAAAATTATTATTTTAAAAGTCCATTTTGTGGTTAAACACAACTGATTTGAAACTGTCCTATAAGTGACAATTCTTATATGTTGGCCTAATTACTGACCTGATTCTGTAAATGTAAGAGTTTAATGTCAGAAGAAACTGTAAAATGCAGACTGGATTTAAAAAAGAAAAAAGGGTAATTGCAATATGAGTTACTTCTTCAGGAACACTTCTGTATCCAATGACAGCTTTGCTATCACAGTCCTCCTTTTTGCGAATTTATGTCATCCCTCTTTTTACTAGCATAGCTATTGGAGCAGTACTTTTCCAGTGAGGTTAGTTCCCTTATCTAGCTTACTATGAGGCTGCATAAAAATTTACAGCATTACTAACACCAACACTGCAGCGTTGAGGTTTTGGGGTTTTTTAAGGTAGTTGTAGTTTTTTAAAGCATTAAATGCCTGTTTAAAGACAACTCTGTATGACACAAACATGAGTGCTGACTTGGAAACCTAGAAATTATTAACAGGCTAAACCCCAATTGAATTAAAAAAGACAAGAGGCCAAACTAACTAGGGTGGCTTAACACAAAATCAGTCTGAGGTTTTAAACAGAGTTGTCTTGCATGAATTTGTAAGTCACAAACCCGAGGTAAGATCGAGGTAACCAGACCTTTCCGCTACTCTTGAAGATTTTGCTTCTTCAGGCTTGCTCGCAGCTACCCTGACAGTCCCCATGGAGAGGCGGGTGGAAGCGGCTCCGCCCGACACCCGGCTGGGACAGCGCTCGGGCACCGGGCTCAGCACCGACGGCCACCACCCGGCTCGGGAACCACCAGCACTAGGGGTTCTCTCACTTGCTAGGAGGAAAAAACATGGTTTGGGCAGGTTTTTGGTTTTGCTTGTTTGTTTTTGTTGTTGTTGTTTTGTTCGGTGTTTTTTTTTTAAACCCCCCCCCCCCCCCGGGAGACTGTCCCACCCTATTGGCTCCGGTGCCCTGCCGGCTCCAACACCCGCCGAACTGCGCCCATGGGTGAGAGCTCAGCCTCCTGCAATAACAAAGCGCTCTGTCCTGGCCACTGGACAAACTCAGAGTCTTTAATTCGCCCGGCCTGACCAGCAGAGCCGCTCCGCTCCGCTCCGCTCCCCTCCGCCGCTCCGCTCCCGCGGCCGGGCCGGGGCGCGCGAGGGCGCTGCGGCTTCACGAGGAGCCCCCACAGCGGCACCACGCTGGGCCCCGCCCCGCCCGCGCAGCCAGCGCGGGGCGGCCGCGCAGGGGCGGCTCGGGAGCCGCGCTGGTGGCGCGGCGGATGAAAGGGGGCCCGGCAGCGCCCGGAGCGCGGGCGCTCTGACGGGCCGCAGGGCCCCGCTCCGCCCATGGCCTCCTTGCTGGTAAGGGCTCGGCCCCGGGCTCCGGTCGCCGGCGAGGGCAGCCGAGCCGCGGCCGGCGCGTGTCGCCCGGCGCCGAGGGCTGCGCGGCCGCGGCCCCGCCGGTGGGAGCGCTCAAGGCGCCGGGACCGCCGGGCTCCCGCCGCGCGCGGGGCGTTAGCGGCCCCTCCGGGGGCCGCCCCCGCCCGCAACCTGACAGTGCGCACCCTCTCCCCAGGAGGACCCCGTCCTGATCCGGCCTTTCCGAGGCCACTTGGCGGCGGTGACGGGCGTCGCCTTCAACGCGGACGCGGCGGGGCTGGGTGAGTGCGAGGCCGGGCGCCGTTTGTTTTCCGGGCGGGGCAGCCCGCTCCCTCCTTTCTCCCTCCCTCCCTCCCCGGCAGCTGGCGGAGCCGCCCAGCGGTTCCGGGCGCAGGTCCGGGTGCGGAGGCGGGGCGGGTTCCCGCGCCGGCCAGGCGGGCTGAGGAGTCTCTGCCCCTTCCTTAAGCGACAACTTTTTGAGCAAACCACAGGGCGGGAGGAGGGGTTTGTCCCGCGGAGAGAGAGGAGGAGGAGGAGGAGGAGGAGGAGGAGGAGGAGGAAGTAAGGGGAGCGCCGAGGCCGGAGGGGCAGGGGTCTGCTCCGTGCTTCCACTGCTGCCCCGCTCCCCTCGCCGTCCCTGTGGAATCGACTGGGCCCGCTACGGCGGGCGCTGGTGCAAATTGCCGGCGGCCCGAGCCCGCAGCTGGGATTGCCGGCGGTCCCCTCCGCCCCGGGGGCGCGGAGGGAGCCGGCAGGACTTCACGGAGCCCCTCTCTGCTACGAGCTGCTTCTATCCACCTACGATGAGGATCCGTCTGGCGAGAAGATGGACGTGGGTCCGTAAAAGCTGCATGTTCCTCGGCTTCTTAATGATCGCTTACTTTGTGGTCGAGCTGTCGGTTTCTTCCTTCGGTGCCTCCCTCGCCGGAGAGAGCATCACTAAAGGGAAATGGGAGAGGCGCTTTTCTGACAGAGCAGAAGAAGCTGTAGATTTGGCTCGTCCAGTTTATGACAAACCCCCGCCTGATTCTCATGCCCCAGGAGAATGGGGTAAACCCTCTCGCCCGCAGCTAAGCCCTGAGGAAAAGAAAAAGGAAGAAGAGCTGATCGAGAAGTATGCAATTAATATTTATTTGAGTGATAAAATCTCTCTCCACCGGCACATTGAAGATAATCGACTGAGTGGTTGTAAGACTAAATCTTATGACTACAGAAGACTGCCCACAACATCTGTTATAATTGCTTTTTACAATGAAGCCTGGTCAACATTGCTGCGGACGATACATAGTGTTCTTGAAACATCACCTTCAGTGCTTCTGAAAGAAATTATACTGGTGGATGACCTGAGTGATAAAACATATTTGAAGGCTGAACTTGAAAAATACATAAGCAGTCTGAAAAGAGTTCGCCTGATAAGAACCAACAAACGAGAAGGATTGGTTCGTGCACGCTTAATTGGCGCTACTTTTGCTACTGGTGATGTCCTCACATTCCTAGATTGTCACTGTGAATGTGTCTCTGGCTGGCTGGAACCACTGCTCGAGAGGATTGCTGAGAATGAGACTGTTATTGTTTGTCCTGTCATTGACACTATTGACTGGAAAACATTTGAATACTACATGCAAACAGCAGAGCCCATGATTGGGGGGTTTGACTGGCGTCTGACATTCCAGTGGCACTCAGTGCCTAAACATGAACGTCTCAGGCGCAAATATGAAACCGACCCAATCAGATCCCCTACTATGGCTGGTGGCTTGTTTGCTGTCAGCAAGAAATACTTTGAGTATCTAGGTACCTATGATACAGGAATGGATGTTTGGGGAGGGGAGAACTTAGAATTATCATTTAGAGTTTGGCAGTGTGGGGGCATGTTGGAAATTCATCCATGCTCCCATGTGGGCCACGTGTTTCCAAAGCGAGCACCCTATGCTAGACCAAACTTTCTGCAGAACACGGCACGTGCTGCTGAGGTGTGGATGGATGAGTTTAAAGATCACTTTTACAACAGAAATCCGTCTGCAAGAAAAGAAAACTATGGAGATATTTCTGAGAGAAAGATACTTAGAGAGCGTTTGAAATGCAAGAGTTTTAACTGGTATTTAAAAAACGTGTTTGCTGAGTTGCATGTACCAGAAGATCGTCCTGGCTGGCATGGTGCTATCCGCAGCACAGGAATACCTTCAGAGTGCCTTGATTATGTCTTACAAGAACATAATCCTACTGGGTCTCACCTTTCTCTCTTTGGCTGTCACGGTCAGGGAGGCAACCAATTTTTTGAATATACATCAAATCAGGAGATTAGATTTAACTCTGTAACTGAGCTATGTGCTGAAGTCCCTGAACATGAAGACTTCATTGGTATGAGGAGCTGCCCAAAAGATGGTTCTCCTGTGCCAGAAATTATTATCTGGCATTTCAAAGAAGATGGGACTATTTATCATCCTCATTCAGGGAAGTGCCTTACTGCTTATCGTACAACTGAGGGGCGTGCTGATGTGCAGATGAGAACTTGTAATGCTGCAGATAAAAACCAGATGTGGAAATTTGAGAAATAGTCACTGCTGGTAGTATGAATCGAATGGACTCTCCAAGGTTTTTGGAGTAATCTCCAAGGTTTTTACATGTGTGAACACATAGCAACATTTGATTGAATACCTTGGAATGTTTTCAGATGTGTTTGTAGTGGTGTAGAAACTATCTCTTGTGATCAGTTGTATAGAAAGCAAAAGTAAATCCTGGGGTTTGGTTTCTAAAACACAGAATGTAGATCTAATGCCTTTTATTTTTGTAAAATTTTGATTCGTTATTTTCTTACTTTAAGCCTGTCTTGCCTATGGTAAAACAAAGGCTTTTGAGTGGACTAAGACAGGATTTTTTTTGTCTTAATAAAAAAATAATTATGCAATAATCCTGCAAGATCATATTACAAGAAAGTAAAGAATCTTTACTTACAGAAGTAGAAGTTAAGATTCTTGCAGTGGCATTAGGTGACCTGTGTTGCAGATACATTATAACATGCATGTCTAACACTTTAAGTAAGGCATGTGATTGAATGAACACTGATGTTGAAAATTGAACCTAAGCCTTGTAATATTCTGCATTTTTCTAGGAATGTACATGCTGTTAAAGGTAACAGCTAGCTATATCACATAGAAGAACAGGACGTTTTTTTAGTAGATGGGCTTTGGCACTGCTTTGCGTTTTGTACCTATTGTAAAAACCTTGCCTCGTGGGGGTTAGTTGGGAGCCTCCATGCATTTAGAGAAGAGTGTGGTGGTAGTGGAACCAAGGACATGCTGATGGCACCACAAATGGGAAAAAATGGGGGTGGCTACAACTAAGAATTCTGTTTAAAGGTAATAGAGAGGGAAAGAAAGTATAGAGTTGCATTAGGTACTGTGGTTTCTTAGCTATATTTTTAATATTTACGTTTCCTCTGTGTAAGCTTTTCCATGTTCAGTCTCACATCCTAGGGACACAAAATTTGTGTTCTAGGCTACATACCACTTTTTTTTTTTTTCATTTGATCTGTCAGTGGAGGAGAGGAAGGTAACATGGAGGAAAACTTGGGCTGTTTTGTGTTTTGACAACACTGGTATGCATCAGTCCTAGGTAGAATTTTGGAATAATGCAGCATAAGCTGCCTCTTTCTAGTTACAGCAGTACCATAGGAGACGTTGGATGAGGTTAGGAAGCTGGCGTTGCTGACTTGAGGGGAATTGAAAAGGCAGAGGACTGCTTGGAGGAAAACAAGATTTGTGGGTAAACCGTTTCACAGAATGACTTATTCAGAATGTTTTCTCCATCCTGTTATGCTGAGTTCTGAAGAATATTGATTCTTGAATCATGTCATTAATCTGTTTTGAGCATGATTATAGATGGTAGATGTGATAGATATATTGTGTGTTTGAAGAAAAATCTCATGTTAGTATCTGTTTTTTAGGTTTATGTGATTTATATGATTTAAGTTGAACACTATTAATGTTTTGGGCATTCCAGCTTTTTTGATTGCCTTCACTGAAGGAATAAATATTCTTCAGTACCCACAGCACAGTAAATCTTGACATGGGGCTGGTAGGTAGGAACTCGAGCTAGTGAGAAAGTAGGTGTGCATTTGCTGTAGGTGTGTTAGTAGGTAGAAAGGTTAAAAAGGGGTGAGGCTTGATGTAGTTGAAGAATAAAGGAAGAGGAAATTAAGATGTATTCTTAAATCTTAGTGGTTAGAAAGCATTGAGAGGTTTGGGTGGAAGCAGGTTAAGGTAGTAGACGAACAGAAGGAAACTTGGAGCTTGGGATGTAGCACTGAATCATGCTAAAAATGCTTGCCACTGTGTGGCATGGGTTCTTTTAGGTCTTTAACTTATTTTTAGGCAGTTACTTGCAATTTAATACTTTTTTTCTTTCTTTCACTAAACTGGTTTTTTTTCCTGGTTTTTTGTTTTTTTGTTTGTTTGATTTTTTAAAAAGGGAACCTTTTACCACATTAGGGAAACATTCCTGAAAAATTCCATTCCACTGCAGTAAGGAATTCTTTTGTGAACCTGCAAGTTATGAACCGTTTATCAAATGTTAAAAGGCAGCCAGTCATTATGTACTGGAGCATTTAATTAAATAAAGTATGTGCTTTTGTGAAAAGCTTTCTGTAGATTGTTATATTCAGTAGAAATGACAGGGAAAAGGCCTAGGTTCTCCTGTATGGCAGGTCATAAGTTGTATATGCAATGCATGTTTCCTCAGATGTAAGTAATTAAATGGTGTGAATGTAGACTATGCAACTTTTATACAGTTAACTTTTTTAGCTCTTGGCAAAAACTGCATTTCTTATAAAGAACTACCTTCGTGTTAAAACTGATATTCAAAGTGTTCCTTATCTATTGAAGCAATAATTCTAAGTGAATCTGTCTCTCAGTTTGAAAGTTATTCTCTCTGTATGTATCTAAACCCTTCTTCTTCCCCATGACCTCCCATTCTATTTTTGGAGTTATTTATATACTAACTGGAGAAAAAAAAAAGTGAAAGTAAATAACCTGGCCCTGAAAAAAAAAAATCTTCCTGATGGGAGTAAAAAATACGGAGTAAAAGGAGGAGGAACTAGAGAAGGAGAGAAAAAGAAGGAAGAGAAAGAAAACCTACCTTGCCATTTCAAGTTCAACTAGTTTTGAATTGAGTTGTGGCAACTCTACAGAAATACTCCAGTTATTTTTCAGTATGTACAGATTTCTGGAAAATCTGAAACTCTGAATGGTTTTCTATTCTGTTGGACTTTGAAAATTTGGGAAACACTTGTACATATTTTAAACTACTGATTCTAAGTGACTTAGAAAAATTGAATGTAAACTTAGCACTGAATAAATATGGAGGTCTTTGGGGTTTCTTTTGAAGGAATAAAATCCAGAATGATAATTAAATGTTTACTGGTGTGCTGACTCTTCAGTTCTCTCTCTCGTGTAATGCATACAGTATGCGATAAAAACTGTCATGAACTTGAACTTATGTGAGTTATTAGAAGTTCCCTGTATTTTATCCACTGTGCTTAGAATTCCAGGTTGGCTTTCTTGACAGAAGTTCAATTAATAATTGGTTTTTGCCAAGTAGGAAATTTTGCAATTCACAAACATGTTTGTATTTTGGTGTTTTACCTTATGACATTGAGAGTTGCAGAGTTCCTGTAAAGTGTGAGGATTTGTTGGTAGTGGTGATATTTGAATATTCTCACACCCATCATGTGCACAGCCCTGTATTCCATCTGCCCTGTAACTCTTGCGTTGAGCAATTAATTATATTAGAGATGCTTACTTTGAGAGAAGTACATCTAGGTGTTAAAACCTGGCTGAGTTTGTCTTCTCTGATCTTTGCACAACTTTCTTAGTCACCACTGTGATATTGTGGGAGTGAAATGGTAATTCTGTATTACAACAACTTGTATCTTCATATGTATGTGGGTATCTATGAACTTTGTTTCATTGCAAATACCACAAAATTTTTTTCGTGGCATATGTGAAGCTCCGATATCTATTTAGAGATCTGCACCAGAATGGTGTGTAAACTTGGTCTTTGCTTAAGGCCAAGTCTTTATTTTTTGGTGTTCAATTCTGTTATGACTCATCAGCAGAAAAGCAAATTACCCAATGACATATCAGCTATACTTGGGTGTGTACAGAAGTACTGATGTTTAAAAAAAAAAAAAACACCAAAAAAACCCCAGCACAACAAAAACAGCTTATAAACTGGACTAAGTTGCATATTGGACTCAACTCAGTGTGAATTTTCAGCTTTCTACTTTTTAGTTGTACTTTGCAGTTGATCAAATATTTTCATAGCAAGGACATGCCTCTAAACATGGTTCTGGCTATGTCGTGTGTTCTCTAAGGAGCAACAGACCTGTTTGTGCTACGGCACATCCTAAAAAATTCTTATGAACCTTCTGTATTTATTTTGTTTCAGATCCAGTACTTTAAATTAGCCTTGTGGACTATTTAGTTGTGATTTGGTAACTGAATGTCAGACTGTAGGGTGCCGATATACTCAGTAAGGGCTGTCAGAATGCACCATCTGCACAGCCTTAAAGTACTGTGCTTGAGTAAATTGAAGCAGCAGCATTCTTATAAAGTAGGCAAAAGCCCTTAGAATGGAATAAAGAGAAATAGAGATGTTTACTTGATAAAAGTACATTTTCCTGAATAACACTGGTTTTAAGATTAGTATTGCTTGTAACATAGTTACCCTATGGACTCTTGTATTTTCTGCTTGTGATTAGTTGAGGTAAAACGTTTACCATTACAGCGAAATGCTTGGGTGTTAGCCATAGGCACCAAAATTTTTTTCAGCCTGCTTGAACAGAGAATAGTTTGGCTTGGCTGAGCCTCATTAATGTTAAAGGGACTGATTTCCCTGTCAGGATAGGGGCCAAACTTCAAAATAGACATAGAGTTTTGGCTTAGAGTTTCTTTGTTTGAGTTTATCTCTCCCATGGTGTTCAAATATAGAGTGACATCAGCCTGTGTGCCTTAGGAAAATATTTCTGTAACGGTCTGTCAGTTACTCACCCTTTTTTGTGCAAATCCTGAACTTCTTCCCTCCATCACCCTGGAGTGGTGTTGGCTGGGCTGGAACAGCTTATTAGAGATGGTATTAGTCTTTGTGTGTCATGGTAATGGGCAGGTGGCTTCAAGAGAGACACATACATAAGGATGTAGGGAGGATGCTGTGCAAGCATAAGCAGCATAGTCCGGAGGGAAAACAATGAAGATGATTGTGGATGTCCCATGGAAAGAACTTCAGGTCACTGCTTGTGTCTCATTAACCCTGGGATAACCTATCTGTGAGAGAGCAAGCTATAAGAAACCAGGCTTTGAATTTATTGCACTGTCATCTTTCAAAGAATATTTTCTTCAGTTTTTAGAACTGAAAGCAAAGACAGCTGGTATTGCACAACCTTCATGCAGTTCATAAGGTACCATAGGTATTTGGTAGTTCATCAATTATTTGTTTTAGAAACCTCCAATCTTGTCTGTTTCACATTTCCAACTTGATGCCTTTGAATTCTATTTTAGCTTACATTTCACTTTTTCCTTTCAGTTTTATGCCACTCTAGATCACATTTTTCTGAATCAAAGTGAAAAAGGAATTCTTTCAATTAGAAAGAGCCTGCTGTAAAAGAGTTCTGAAAAACTGAAGCAGGGGGAAAATATCCTGTATTTCTTGGTAAAATATAGGCCTATTGATATGGGCATAGAGATAGTCTCCTCTCATGTGTTTTAGCAGAGGCTAGTCTTTGGGGAATACAAATAATATTTCTGAACCAAATTCATAAAGATAATTGAATATCTAATATTTAATATTCTAGCATTTTGTTTGAGGATTGCCTTGACACACATGATAATAAACAAACTTCCTTTGTGCTATGTTGGTGCTTGAAAGAAGCTGGGAAGAGAAGACCCATCCTCTTAATGTCCTCTTCAACTTCTAGGAGGTCTCTGTTCTTCCTCTCCCCCTTTTTCTCTACTAGGGGTAGGAATTTATAGATGAGGGATGGAAGTGTAAATACCTTGTTTTTATTTATGTCCTGCATACTAGCATTTAGTAGAGATGAAGATAATAGGGACCATAAGAATATCGTATGTGCCGGTTTAATTCAACTGCTTATTACCTTTGCTGCTTATAGTTTCCTGAAAATGATCAAACTGTTAAAAAGTTATGTTTACCTTTTCAAGTGTAGATACTATGATCCATCTGTAAAGTGACTGCAAAGAAAAAAAAATTCTATTATCAGACTGACAACTTTATGTTGTGTTTTGAACTAGACAAATATTAGTATTATGAAATTGGTACTTAAATAGGATTATAGAATTATCATATACAGATATCTTCACTTTAGTGTAGATATCTGAAGTGTTAGAAATCATGTCTTGAATTCAAGTTGGCTTGTTTCTTTACAGTTAAACACTTGATGCATGAAACAAATTCCATCTCAGAGATCAAAATGAGATTACTAAAGAATTTGTCTATTCATCTTGGTATTTGGTAACACCAAAGCTGGATTCATACTTAATGATGTGCATGGTATTTGGCTTTGGATTTATTGTTCTGTATCTTGCAAGTACTTACAAGGTGGTTTGCTTAGTATGTGAGAGAGCTGCCTGTTAGGAATTAACCTTTACTCATCCCAGTCTTGTGATAACCTTTGAAAAGCCTGATTTTGGCATTGTTTGCTACCAGGCTTCTGCTCAGGCCAAGTATCCATTAAAACCCAACAACTCCTCCCTCCCCCTAAGACTCAGTAAGTTCACTATTGAATATAAATCTGTAGTCATTAGCTCTGGTTTTTATAAGAACAGTGAAGAGACTCCTAATATGTCTTACTTCTTGCCAGCTACCTGCTCTTTGGATAGGTTTCTTATGGTGTGGAAGCTGCAGGCACGATGCAGAGCTTACAGATTTGTAGGCCATGTGGAAGCGGTCACCAGTGTAGAGTTCTCACCAGATGGGCAGCTACTGGCTTCATCTTCTCAAGATCATACTGTCAGACTGTGGATTCCTTGCATGTGAGTATAACTGGCCAATGCTAGATATGTGTTTCATTGAAGTGTAATGCGAATACTGGAGTCTGCTCAAGGAAAGTTTCTTTTTCCTTCCCACGTGCCTGGGCTTTGACAGAAACAGAGATTGGAGACAACAAATAGCACAGTTCTTTACTGTGTTACTTTATTCTTTACTGAATATGCTGTAGTTTCAAAAGAAAAATGTAGCAGTTCAAAGGTCACAATTTCATGTATGTAGGACTATGCTTGATAGTATTTGTCTGGATTAAAGATTATATTTTAGTAAAGATTGCATGGCTGCACTTCATTTACGGGAGACAAATGATGAAGGAAACAAAATAGCTTTTTTGAAAAAACCTTTTTAATCTACTTGCTTTATTAAACTGTTCTTAAATAGTAGTGATTACAAGCAATTCAGAATGATGGTAGAAAAACTGATGTTACTTTAAAACATTTTGTGAATTACTGTATAAAAAAAATTCTCTTTCAAATATTAATGCTAATGGTACTAAAGGTTAATGCTGCTAGTTACTTGCACAGTTCTCTAAAATTGTGTCATATTAAATGCAATTTAAAGGATGTTATTCTAATAATTAACATTGAAATAAGTAAAAAAATAATGGTGACACTAAGATTTAGCCTCTATATGCTGCTTTTTCATTTGGGTAAGATTCTCGATATGTTAACATTGAGTTTTACAAGGTTTTAAACTCTAATATAATTGTGATTTATGACTTGGTGTTTGTGGTTTTGTTTCTTTTCCTCCCTACCCCCTTAGTCATGGAGAATCATCAGTATTGAAAGGTCATACAGCATCTGTTCGTAGTGTGAGCTTCTCCCATGATGGCTGCTCTCTAGTTTCAGCATCCAATGATAAATCAATAAAAATATGGAGTGTTTGCAGTCAGCGCCTTTTGTTTACCCTATTCCAACACACTCATTGGGTTCTCTGTGCCAAGTAAGTGTTATTTTTATTCTCTTGGTAAAGTAGAACACTTAACAAAGTATTTTTATGTCCCAGGGCAGAACTAAGGGAAGAAAAATCTGTGAAAGACAAATGATTATCTATCACGAATAATTAAATTTTAATCAATCAATCTTATTTACACAAGTTTTGTATATATCTCCTAGTTGAAGTATGAAGGCTTGCTCTGTGTTAATATGTGTACGTATTAGATCTGTTGCTTATTAGATCTGTGTGTTAATTCTTTAAAAGACAAACGCAGTCTTCTGTATTTATTTTCAGTCAGTATCCAGTCTTTCCCCAGTCTTGTTTGGTTTCATGCTCTATTAACTTATTTCACAGCATTCACTTGGTTTTAGATTTATTATGTGTGGTAAGGGTTTTCTTAACTATTCTTGTTCTTTGCTGGTTTTTCTTTTCCTTTTTGCCGTATTGGTGGGAAATTTTCAGCTAAGAGATGCCTGATTTAAATCTCTTGAGAAAGAAATTTAACCCTGGTGTGAAGTGCAGAGCCCTACAAAGTTTCTAAGTATCTGATTGTTGAAAAGAAAAATTAAAGCTCCAGGAAACTGCATGTGGAAGTTCTTGAACAGTTTTCTGATGTCCTTGTGCAGTTGCTGAAGGTGTGAAATAATAATGCTTGAGGAAATTGTACACAAAGCAGTTTTACTATTTAAAAACCTTATCTGCTAGTCTAGGAGTAATTGTGAATGCTTTGCTAACAATTTGTAAGTCTAGGGAGAACTCAGAGGAGAACATGTATGTAGGTTAAAATGGAACACAAGGTTCTACTATGTCCTCTTTTTCTTTTGCCTATAGTCTTCTATAATAATCTCTTCGGCATCTAAAGTAACATCCTTAGGCTGCTGATACCTACCTACCCCACTCTTTCTCTTGCTTATGGCTCTGTTTTTAATTGTATTTGACTGTGAAATGAAGCAGGGAGGAGTAAGGGGAGAAGCTTTTCATTTTTATTAGTGCCTGAGAAATACGAGAAATTCAAATGTCCTTTAAATGTTACACATCTTTATTTCAAATGAGCTTTCTTGGCTCTGGTATTTTGTGACTTATGTCTGTAATGCTCATCTAGGTAGTATCAGATGTTTAATAATGTATACGCCATGCACGTTCCAGATTTTCACCTGACGGAAGAATAATAGCATCTTGCAGTGAGGATAAAACTGTTAAGATCTGGGATACAAGAAATAAAAATTGCATTAATAGCTTCTCAGATTATGAAGGGTAAGTGTTACTAGGAAAAAAAAAGTGTAAATGTGTCATTTTAATGAGATCAAATGCATCTTCTGTGATATTAACATCTTCATGTGTTAAATCTGAAAATAGATCAAACATCTACCATCCATGTGAAGTAAAATAATTCATATAGAGTTTTTCTGAAGAGGTTAACTGGCTGCACTTATCCAGCTGTTTTTCATCAATAAAGAAATAGTCCAGGCAGAAGTGGGGTTATTCTTGGATTTTTGGAATGTTTTTGAGTTTTCCCTCCATTTCAATAGTGCTATTTGACATTGGATGCTTCAACAAGAAAAGAAGTTGAAGAATTTTCCATTTGTTGATAAAGCAATATTCTGTTAGCTTCAGTGATCTGCCTTCTTTAAATTTAAAAAATAGTTGTTTTTACTTATATGCAGTTTTCTTAAACATCTTGGAACCAGAGTTTTAATTAACAAGTCAGTGGAATATATATCTTGTATATGTGCTTTGCTGGTCTCATGGCTGCCTTCATCCTTTTTACCAATTTACAATACTGTTATAGCTAGATATTGAGTTTTTAGACATAATTATTTCACTTGTTGCTTACAAACTCTTAGCAGCACTATCTTCTGGGAACTTTATACTCCAAAACAAACTCTGAAGGTTTGAGTTGGGTCAATTATAGTATATTTTCAACAAAAGCCACGTTATACAGTCTGATTTATCATGCACATCTTGTTTTCTTATGCTTATTTCAGTTACTTGAAACGCCTTGAGTTTCCATACATGTGGATTCCATGCAAGTTTTTGGTGGCTCAGTGTTAATATTGTGGGGTTTATATATATATATATATATACCTAAATATTTCTATGGAAACACATAATCAGTCTGTTTTCATTAATTATATTTAGATTTGTAAATTTTGTGGATTTCAACCCAAGTGGAACGTGTATAGTTTCTGCAGGTTCCAATCATACAGTAAAACTGTGGGATATTCGAATAAACAAGCTACTGCAGCATTTCAAAGGTAAAAGCAATGTAGTTTGTCGTATTTTCTTTACAAGGGAGCTCTTTGCAATGAAATGTGATTTATTAAGAGTATATTATTTCATTCCTTACTGGGGAAAGTGGACAAACAAGTCATATTGACATATTGTAAGTATCTTCTTGTAGTCTAGCAACCCTAAAAATCCAATCTGAATCCTTTTTATTTCTTTGCATCTCTTAATTTTTCAATCAGAACTAAGCAAATACTTTTGAGAGTCTGCTATGCCCCAGCACTGGTTGTTTTTCCCTTAAATGAAGTAGGCTGTTCTTTGGGAAGTAGAAAAGAGCAAAGAAATAAAGTGTACATTTCCTCTTAGTAGATATCTACAGCCTTTGAATATTGTCTTCTGTAAATTAGTTCACAGAGCAGGGGTTAATTGTGTATCATTCCATCCTTCTGGTAACTACCTCATCACTGCTTCTACTGATGGTACCCTTAAGATTCTGGACCTCTTAGAAGAAAGACTTATTTACACTCTCCATGGACACAAGGTATACACAATAATCCCCTTTAAATGGAGATCTTAACAGATTGTTCAGTATCTTTTCAAAGGGAAAGTAACGTTTATGCCGTCGTGTCTTGTAGCTTACAACTTACCAATAAACTTTAGTGGACAGCAAAGTGTTGTATTAATGCAGCTTGTTAAAAGTGGTTGAGGAAATGACTCGGTTTTACCTCTGGCCTTTTTATCTGTCAATGTTACATGCTTAATGTTAAGTAATAGCTCATGTTCTGAATTCATTAAAAATCCTCTTGATTTTCAAAATCATATTATTTGGCACTTAGTCTTTTTGTCTATTGAAAAACAGTGCTTTCTAAGGAGGGAGAAGCTTACAGAAGACAACTTTGGTGAAGAATGGCAGGCATTTCCTCCTTTTCCTCCTAATGCAAAACAAACCCGATTTTTGATAATGAATCAGTCAAACACATAGCCTTGAGTAATGTAATATATATTTTGTAATTTTTTGTTGCAGAGTTGAAGTATAAAATCTAATGAAAATGCCACTGTTTTTCTAGTATTGATTATAGTCATTGTAATGCAGCATCTTACTGAAAAGTGCAATATTAACTCTTCAATGAAATTGTTTGGCAAAAATTTCACTATAGTTGTTCCTTATTTTATTAAAATTGAAAAGTCTGTTATAGTAGGTAATGGCATCAGTGTTTTTCTCTTTGCATTAAAGCACCATGATTACAGTAACAGGGTAATTTTACTGTATGCATTTTTTTTTCCCCAGGGACCTGTACTTTCTGTGGCTTTCTCAAAAGGTGGTGAAAAATTTGCCTCAGGTGGAGCAGATGCTCAGGTTTGTGGTATTGTCTCTTTAAATTGGATGTCTTAATGTTTGTTGCAGTGGATGGGAGTTATATATAGTATGTCACAGTAATGTGCTACTTACAGTGTGCTCACATGCATTCTGTCTACTAGTGTGTTATTTTCCACTGGATGTTATGATGAGAAGACCACAATACTAGCCACTTCTATTTTGACTATTAAAATAAAGGAATGATTTTTAAATAAAAATATTTTAAGTGTTGCAATTCAGTGTCAACAAAGTTGTTGTGTTGTAGTTTGTATTAAGGCCTAGTTGCTTCGTTTGGCTTTCACTTCTTTTAAGGTCTCTACTCTGTAATTACAAGAATTGAATTGTATTACTGGGAAAAATTTGGGAAGAATTGGGGAAAAACAGTCTTGTGTTAGCTTTGCTAATTTACTTCAATGAAACAGTAAAGTAATGGATTATACATAGGGAAGAGTGGTTTGAGCATTTAAAACAAAAAAGTTAAATTAAACAGCAAGTCATATAATTAATCTTCATCTACTGTGATGAATTAAAAAATTAAAAATAAAAATTAAAAAAATACCATCAAGCTTTGAATCATCTCTATCAGGTCTTTGCATTTTCCAAATGAAAGAACTTTTGTAGCATAAGGTTTAAATTTTCAGTCTGAAATGTTCCTTAATATTAATTGTCTTCTCCATTGTTTCCTGTTAGAAGAAGCTAAAAGCTCACTGTAGATACAGAAAGCAATGATGTAGAAATTAAGAACTTTTGAATTTACCATGATTCATGTTTTTATTTTGTTTTCTAGAGTTTGGAATAAATTTCAGCTATTGAAATAATAAATATTTTCAATTAAAAACTTCAGTATCATTAGAACAAATGCAATCTGTTTCTGGTTTTTACTTATTGCTTCCGGTAGCACACTTTTCTGGAATGACTTGAAAGCACTTGAAAAAAAAAAAACAAAATTGCTTTCTGTCACAAGGTGTTGAGTAAGAAGCACTGCCAAGATTTGCAGTTACTGGAAAAGTGAAAATGTTGTCAGACTTCCAATAGTAATTTTACAAGTGGAAAAAACCCTAAACAAAACAAAAAACCCTAAACAACAACAACAACAAAAAACCACCAAGAACGTGGGAAAGAGATTTATTTCTTGACCTATCAGTGTAGTATTTTCTTTTTCATACTGAAGTTTTTAATAAGATTTTTTTTTAAGTTACAAAATGCAGCTTAGATTCCCAAGTAATTCTGAATTGTTGACCTTACCTTTCATGAGTACTTCATTTGAGTTTTATGATGATTTGTATATTATACTTAACTTGAGAGGAAACGATGTGCGTGTATGAAACTAGGTCACCTGACAGAAGAGTTATCTGAGAAGCTCTGATGATGGAAAAGACCTATTGTGTTAAGTCTAACACAGCCTCGCAGTTGAATGCCAGCATGCCCTGGGAATGCCTGTCTTATTTCAAACTTCTTTTGAATTTGGGGCACCCTGAATGAACAGGCGTGTTCAGTGCAGTCATGTCATTGCCTTTCTCCTGCCCTGTGATTCCATGCTGTAGAGCTGGTGCATGGCATCAGGGAGAGAGTAGGTAAAAATCTATAAGGTGGCCCATGTTTCTCAGCAGTTTGATATAATGGTTTCATGCTGAATGCAAGAGAAGGAAGATCCATTTTCATCAGGAAGCACTTTCTTATTTAAAAGTTGAATTTAAAAAGTAGTCCTAGTAGGTCTGATAATGAATCCTGGGTGTAGTTACCTTAAAACCAGGCCTTCCTGTATTTGTTGAAGTTTTCCCCTTTGTTTTATGCAAGGTTTGGTGGGAGAGGGCTACTTATTTTGTTGTAGTTTTTACTTTTCTAGGTTTAAAAGGTTCATTGCTAACCACCGTTAGGTAACTACCAGTGTATATATCTTTATCTATAGTAACTGTAAGAACTTGATTCTTCAGTGTCCATTTTCTGTTGGTGAATACACACGTATTCCACAAACATCCTTTCTTGCTGCTCACAACCCTCTTCCAGGTGTGCCAGGAGAATAGTTGTGGGACTTCTTGACTCACTCTGTTGGTTTACTGTAAATGTAGGGTGTGTTATGGTTTGGTTTCCTGGAATATCCATAAGGCTGGATGGATAGAACACCTTTGGACTACCTCTCCGTTCTATGACCTCACTTCTGCATTTGGCCATTGTGTGACTATTGTATATTGTTGCTACCTAGAGTATAATTGGACAAGGTTCAGAAAACAGATTCCTGCTGCTAAAACACTGGAACCAGGTGTTTTAGAGTTCTGTGGAACTCTGTCATTTCTCTTATGCCCTCAGACTTTCTTATTAGACCTGCAAGCCTTTATATGGGGCAGAAACTTAACAGTGTATGACTACTGGATTTGTCAGAAAAATACCTTGGTTCAGTGGTACAGAAGTTTGCTTTGTTTTATGATTGTGGACATATTTTAGAGTTGTTGTTTGTTTATTTGTTTTTTAAATTAACCAAACCACATCTTTTAGACTTGAAGTACAGGATACTCTGGGGAAGTGCCTGTGTTGTAGAGATCAGACTAAGTGACCACTGCAGTTTATTATGATGTAGTGCTCTATTAGTAATAACAGACTTAGTAGTTATGTTTTGAGCACCGAATAGGCTTCTAGTAGTTACTGATATGATGGCTTCTTACAGGTATTACTATGGAAAACCAACTTTGATTCTTTTGATTACAAAGAAGTTCTTAAACACAATTTTAGAAGAACACATATTGATGAGTCTCCTCATCTACTTGATATTTACCCGAGATCACCTCATCTCCACGATGGAAAACTTCAGTCAGTTGAGGTGAGTGCAGTAAGTTATCTAATATAGGAAACCAGAAGCTCTTGTAAAGACTGTCTGGCATTTATATTTAAATATGTTCTCTGTATACCAGAGAGCATTTTATTGTTATGAATAATACTTTGGGAGGAACTGCAATTTATGAATTCACATTAAGTTTATTAGACTAGCTGATGCTGTCAGATTCATGCTGAAATTCCTTTCATGCTTCCAATATAAGTCTGTACATCTGATTTTATAAAAAACATAGGTGATAATCTGGTTTCTGAAGTAACTTGGCAAGTGTTGCAGAAGGTTCTGAATCTGCAGTGAGCTTTAGAATACTAATCAAAATACATCATTATAAGCAGGACAAAGTGACATTATTGCTGAAAGTCAAATATTTGATTGCCACAAGTTGTTCCTCTTTCCAAGGTATCATGAGAAGATCTTAATATGTATCTAAAAGTTTAGAAAGACTTTAAAGAAAGACTTTAAAGGTTTAAAGTGTGTGTTTTATGTCACTATGTAGTTTGATGCTTAGCATTTTGGTCAGAACAAGAACAGGATGATTGCGTATATGACAAGCTTCATAAACAAACTTCTGTGCTGGACTTTGATACTCATTGTAAGGTCAATGAATGAAGTTAGGTTTACTGGTACCAGCCTACAGTATAGTTGGTCAGTGCCAGAACAAACTCTATCACAGCCTTTCCCAGGAGATTTAAGCCACTCTTGCTATATCAAGAGTTTGCTTCAAGACCCATTCAAATTGCACCCAGGTATAACATGTGCTAAGTAAACAGTCACTTATAGCTGCAGATTTCAGTTCAGGTCAGTGTTTCTAGACCTCTGCTGCACAGATGCCTGGCAAAGATGTCAATGTACTCTAAAGCAATTTTTCAGGTTTTTTCCCTTTCTTGATCCCAGGTAATTGAGGAGCTCTGGAAAAGCATTAATGAGTTCAGGCTAAAGTTAAACTAAGACTAGGAAGCACCTCAGTTTTAATACTGAAAGGGCACATCAGGGAAAATTTATAGTTGAATGTCAAGAAATTATTTATCAGTTAGTTTTGACAGACTCACTTAACCTAATGTCTGCATTTATTTGTAGGTGCTCCATAGTGGTGAAAGGGCTCTACGGCCTTGTCATTTGTCATAGCAAAGTTTTGGACTCTTTGTGGTTTATTTTCTGGACTGATTTCAGGATTTTAGGAATAGGATTGTTGTGATGTTAATGGAAAACTAAACACATTGTCAGTAGAATATCTTTGAAACAAAACAGTGTCTGATAGTTCCACAAAATTCATATTATTGTAATATACTAAATTTTTACATATGTAAATTAAATATTATAGTAATAATCATTAGGATCTCTCTTACAGCTAATTTTCAGAATTAATAATGCAGTAATTTAGACAAAGTTAAGGTGAAGTTCTGTTGCTCTGTATGTCTTTTACTGATTTTTTTTTATTGCCCCTCCTGTCTACAGAGGGGATTTTTGTTATGGTGAGGAAGAACAGACCTTACCAACTGGACAGAAACATAATTTATCCAGACAAAACTAGCGTCAGGCTATTAACAGCAGTAATATGCTTTAGTGGCACTAACTGTGCTTGAAATTTTTCAGTGTTCCATTGTCTTAAATATTTCCTCTCACAAATGAGAAAAAGCATCATGTCTTGCCCCACTGTGCATGCTGTACTCTGGATAAGAAAAAAAAAAAGTATTTTTGTCCTTCTTTGGTTAGAACTTGTTATTTTTTTAATACCTCAGCCTTTTCCTAAGATTGAGGCAACAGATAGAATTTTGACATTAGTCAGTTCCACCATAATACCAGCCTCATCTTTCAGTGGTTCATCATGTTTCTCATATATAAGGGAAAGGAGGGATTGAATCACAGATGTGTCAGAGCGAGCTTTTGGAGGTCATCTATTCTTGTTAATGGTACTTGAAGTCAGCTGTGTCTAGTTAGAGGGCCTTGAAGAACGATAGAGATTCCCCAGGCTTTTTGGGTGATCTATTCCACTACAGCACAGCAATTGTAATGACACAGTTTTTCCTAATATCTACACCTCAGATAATATTCATAACAGTTTTCTTTCTCTTTATTTTCTTCTTTTCTCTCCATATTTCTGTGAATGGGGTAAGATACTCGATCTTAACTAAAACGGAAGTAACAGTTTTCTAAGAGACTTGGTAACAAATGCAAGAATTACAAGCAGGCAGAAGAGGCAGTTTAGATAAGGGATATTTAAAAGTATAGATGACCATTTAAGGTTTGCTACAAACCACTACAATGTTATCTAGACTTTTGAGATATGTTGTAATGCATTGCCCTGAGTTGTGCTGAGCTGTTTTCTTCAGCTGGGATCAGAGACATAGTTGCAGTGTTTTCCCACATCACCTGTTGGAAATGCTGTTTTGAATAAAGCAGCTTGCACAAGGGCATTAAGAATTATAGGTATCACCTGGTATTTTGCCTTCAGGATAGTGACAAAACTTAGAGCTAGTGTGTACTTTCACTTTTTCTCATGACTTTTCCTTATTCACTCTTCTAAGCTATACATAGAACCATTAATATTTAAGTCACTTTCCCTAGTTGTTTTTTTTTCTCTCTACATACCTATTTTTTGACATATAATTAACTTTTACAAGAACTCCTCCTCCTCAGACCAGCAGTAGCCTGAATTTTAATGAAGTGTTGAATTTCCTGTTATTGACTTACAAATCTTTACAACAGTTCTCCAACTGCACTGATCAGTGTGATTTCTTGAATAATTGAGTAAGTAGAGATTTAATGCTTATAATCATTACACTTACTCAGACTATTTGTAAATGTAAGTAAATAACTTGTTCTCTGAAGGCACCTACTTTTTTTTCCGTTGACCATAGAGGTAATCTTGGGTGACCAGCTCAGATATAGATGTCTAGCAGTTTGTCTAAATTTAGCTGAGATAAATCCCAGACTACCTCTCTTTGACACAAGGACCTTTTGGAGTTATTTGAAAACAGTGTCTTTAAACAGTAATGCAGTTTTAGTGAAAAATACTAAAAAATGCATTCTACTTGGTGATAGTTGCATTTATGAATTTGCCATGTTTGTATATAATTTACCTTTCATAATCTAGAGACCTCTTTAAAATAGATGGAAGGTAGAAAAAAGTTTCCTTTCAAAACATAGCTTTGAGATTTGAACAGAATTAAGGTACATAGAGTTTATATCTTGATCAGAAATAGCTTCTGTTGATTTAGTTTTATCTTAATATCTTCAGTGTAATTTCAGTTGTAAAAATTTTCCTAGATGGAGGAAATCAAAATATACGCTAGGTGGCAGTAGAAAAAAGAATATATAGCTCGCTTGGCTTGAGGGCTTCAGTCTAGAACAAAAACTGTGTTTAATCAAATTGAATTCTAATTTTCTCCTGATATGTTTGGAGAGACTATTTCACATCACTTTCCTAGGAAATACTTGGTGTGAGTTATTTAGGACTCCCTCTTTTAATTTTATTGACTTCATTTTTCTAATGCATGGAAGGATTCATAGAAACCTTTCTTCAAATATGTTTTCTTGTGCTATGGATCAAAATGTGATAATTGTATTATCATATTAAAAGATGATAATGAAAATACTTATATAAGTATATATAAATACTTTTTAGTGTTCTGTTTTTTCTGTCTTGTTTCTTAAAGTTAAATCTTTCCAAATGTGTTTGGTAGGATTATTTTACAGCTAACTACATCACCTTGTTAGGAAATGTTAAGTAATTTGAAACTTTTACATTTAGAGTCATTCCATTATTTCATTCATTTTTAGTGCAATATTAAACACTAATATTTGTAAGAAGGGTTCATCTACAGCCTTTATGTTTTTGTGCTCATTTCTTTAGACACATTTTAGATACCCTAACTAGTTGCTTAATAATTTTATATTTAATTTTTTGAAATATAGTTTATGAAAGTTCCTGCACCCCTAGTCAGTGTTTACAGTGCTCCTCATCATCCCCTTATCTCTGATAAAGCAGTAAGCAGAACTGTATGCAGAGGAACTTTCATTCCAGGTCCAGGATGTGACACTTCCACATAAAGTGCACATTTTCTTAACTTAGTAATACTATATATTTATTTAGCATCGTATATCAAGAAAAGTATTTAACTCATTCTACAGTATCTTTGATGTATATAAGGAGATATCTCAAAGAGAATGTTTCAAGAGCTATTAGTAGTAATACTACAGTAGCTCCTCCACATTAGAGTATTGATAGGTGGTAGGCACCTGCTATCTCTCTTCTGCAGGATCCTGCAGGTGCATTGTCCTCTCTTCAGCACCCAAATGATTCATGTCAGAAAACTGCTTTAGTGTTAACTACCTATAGGAGGACTGATACTCTGATAATGCATTAATCATATTTACTGTAAGACTGACTGTCAGAAGGAAATGATCCTGGGCACTGAATAAATGTAAGCTCTTTGGGACAGTTGCCTGTTTAATCTCAATAGGCATGACATGTATGGAGGGGAGAAAAAGTAAAATTTGCTCTTCCTTTCTGCACTGATAAAGTAATAAGCAATACTATATTCAGAGGAGACTTTCATGGATCGTATTTCTGTTAAGAAGATGCTAAAGAAGAAGTCCAGTTAAAATAGTAGAACTTTCAGGTACATAGAAGGTTGTTATGTAGGCCATGTTACCTGGCTTTCATTCTCCTTTATCCCTTTATTTTTTCCAAGTCTATTTGAGAAAATTGGAAGAAAGCAGGACTTGATCCTAATATTTATAAATGAGGAAGAAGATCCTAATATCTACAAATGGGGAGAATTTTAAGTATTCAGCTTGTGATGGCCCTGTAGCAGTATGGGTTTTCTTGGTTGCCCTTGAGTCCCTGCTCATTCTTGATTGATGCAACAATAATCTGAAGACAGAAAAAAAAGAGTTCATGAATGAGGAATGGCTTGTTGAAGCTGAATGAAAGAGCGAGCTAGTCAGAAAAGTGAACAAGCTTAAAAACAGAATTTAGGTCTCCCCTTAAGGAAGGCTTTTCATCTCTAATCTGTAAGTGTTGCAAAGCATGAGAATCACTTTCACCTTGAATAATCTGATAATATTTTTATTTAAATGTTTCTTTACCTTCTAACTTACTAGTAAACTTTGTTCGCCTTCTTCTTCCACTCAGATTTACTGAGGAAGATCTTGCTTCTATTAATTTGAAGCTAAATTTCTGCATGTAAGTCATGGAAATCCAAATGAACTGAATGAAAAGTCTTCAGGCACTGCAACATGCTATTACCCTCCTTCCCTGGCTACTAATTCTAGATTTAAGATTGCTTTCTCGCTACTTAGCAAACATGTCTGACCTCAAGATCTATATACCAACATGTGGACCCTAGCATCAGGGATTCTAACTTGTGGAAACAGCACTGAAGCAGTTACTGAGGGAGCAGCCCTGACTGAGACAAAATTTTGACAGTCTTCAGGTGAAATAGTAGGATCTTCCTCTTGAAAAGGCAAAATAAAATGACTCCTGTATCTAAGAAACTTTTAGTGACTAAAATACAACCCTGTCACTAGGCCAGTGTGAGTTTTGGGGATTTTGTTTATTTTTTTCCACTTTCAATAAGATGTTTGGAATTAATGCTCTCTCTGATAAGGCTGCTGTTGGATTGCTGATAAAAAGTTGAAAGGAGAAAAGTTCATTTCTCTTTATTACATTAGGCTTCTTGGCAATTTGAAAGTCATCTAGTCTTTCTATGAATTTTGCCAGTTTATAAAATAAGGAGAATAGTACTTCTATACATCATACTGAGAAGGCAAACAGGTTGATACACCTAGATAATATAATGGTAGAGAAGATGTGCACACAAATTTTTATAGGGAGGTTATTCTGATCCTTAGGTGAAAGCAGCAACTTTTTCAAACTTTATATTATCTGATATTTTGTCAATGCTTCACTTTCAGGAAAGGACATTAGTAAAATATTGCTAAAGCTACAGATTAAGTCCTATAACCAACAATAAGCAAGTAGTACAACTGTGATATTAAAAGCAAAGTTGCAGATGTTGTGGTGAGATGTCTGATCAATCAGCCTCTGACATTGTCTCAGTATAAAGCAGTTTTTCCTGTGGATTCAGCAACAGTGCCATTTGTATTTGGATGGTTAACTTATCAGAGATTTTAGTGTGATCTCCTACCTGTTTTCCACAACAGTGTTTTTCAAGTTATTTTGGCAATCAGAGTTGGGACATAATAAGTAAGCATGTCAACAGTCTGTGTTAGGTGACTTGAAGAACTTGAATGTGAGAACTGACTGACCTGGATTGCTATGTGTGTGCTCACTTTTTATTTCATTTTTATTTCCCTTTCTCTGCTGGTGCTGAAATAATAACATAATTCATTTTCAACAGGTTGACCCTACATGTGATGTAACTGATACACAAACACCTGACCCACCTGTCATAGAGATTAGAACCTCTTCATCTCTCAGGACTCTGGTAAGTTGCTTAAAAAAAAAAAAAAAAAAAGATACAGCTCTTATCAGAAATGTGCTCTTTCTGTCCATATGAATGAAATATTTTTTAACGATTTTTGAGTGCTCAGAGCTCAATATTCTAAATTCTCAACTTAGGCTTTCTGTCACAGTTCCCAAGCTTAACCAGAAGATGGTGTAATAGCAAAGCTTTCATGTTATACTGTAATTTTACCACTGTATAAACAGAAATTCTATTTATAAGCCCATGCTAATTACATCTAAATATTACTGTTAAAATTTGTGGTTTATTCTCAAACACTTTTTGTAACTCTGTCTTTATCTGCAAATAACGGGAAACCTAAAGAATAGCTGTCTCACGGATACAATTCCAGAAGTGCTGTTTTAATTTTTTTCCTTTTAAGGCATCTAGTAGTTCTCTAGGAAAAAAAAAAGTAAGACATTTTAAGACAGAATGATAGGATTAGAGCTTTCTAATGTTAGCTCTATGTATGAGATTGGTATGGCACGTGGGAGGAAAGGAAGGCAATGTTTTAGTGGTGGTTTCATAGGAGGAGAAATATGCTCACCTGGTATGAAATCTAAAAGACATGCTGTTCTAGAATTAGGTTAAAATGAGAATTTTTCTTTAAGCTCTGAATCTGGACCTATGAAGGTATAAACTGTATCTTGAGCACTTTTAGTTACCGTAAAAAGAGTTTATGTGGTTGAAGGGTTAGTACATATGAATAGGCAGCAGGTGTGGTTTCTGCTGTTCTGTTTTGTCATGAATGCTTTGTGACAAGTAAGCTGCGAAGGTACTATATAAAATTCTTTAGGTTCATGATACAGAGGTTGATGATAAACCTTTACTTTGAAACAAATAATCATAAAATAACTTGTATTTGTGAGGAGATAAATAGTATTTTAATGTTTAGCATTTGTTTTGCTGTGTTTTCACAATGAAGATAAGGTTCTTTAAGATAACTTTCTAATACCAGCTCATCTTTTAGTGTCATCTTTCTGTCTAGTGTCTGTCTGCTGTATTACCAGCATCTACTGTTTGTGGAATAATCACCTGTTTCTTAATCAGACAGCCACTTAGACCTCTGTGTCTTGTTTATAAGGGTTCTGGATCTCAGTGACTTGGACCTTTTCATCTGAAGCTGGCTCAATTTTCCTAATGTATGGAGGCCATGTTTATGGAGACTTGATGTGTTCTTCATAAGAAACAAGGGAGAAGGACAGATACTGGATTTCTTCCAATCACACCTTTACTTCCAAATTTCCTCTTGATACAGTTTGTCCTCACTTGAGTGATGTTGCTTTTTGCATTATTTGTGTATTTTTTTAATCCTTCTCTAACTTGAGGTTTCCAGCCTCTAGTCTAATTCACCATCTTCCCTAATTCATACCTCTCTGATTCCAACCCCAATGGGTTGCTCTTTTTCTACTGATTATCAAAGACAATCACTCTGCAGGGTTTTTTTTTCCAGCAAACATGCCGAGACCCATTTTAAAGCTGTTTATGGCTTTTTGGTCCTACTTCTACTAAAAGAACACTGTTCAAATGACTAAAAGTCTTTGATCAGGTTGACACGTTAATTTGCAAATGTTCTGTCTATACCTGCTTATTTTTGAAGTGTTTTACTCTAGCTTAAGGAATTCTTTTGCCCTTCTGATATTTGCAGTGAGAAGAATGCACTCTGCACTTAGGCATCTTTAGGGGTTCTTGTTCAGTGTATTTATTATGCATGTAATGTGGCAAGGTCTTAAAAATACATTGGCAAGTCTGTAGACCACTGGAGATAGTTAATCAACATATTTAATTTTTCTACTGAGGAAGAGAGAGGCAGCCTTTCTTAGATCACAGTCTCAAAGTATTTAAAGACTCCCAGTTTCTCTGGAACAAGTAACAACACTGAAGCTTTTGTAGGTTCTGTGTTGAGCTCCCTGAGATGTCTGCAGGAAGATTGGAAGTCTGTGCAAAACCTTGCAATGTTTCATTGAATAGCTGTCAGAATTTCTGAGAGTAAGTGGGCAGATGTCCACAGGTCTTAATCTAGTCTCAATCCAGGAAATAAGAGAAAGTGCTTTTCTTACTGAGAATCTTTTCTTCATCTGGAATTGTGTCCTGTCCTACCACTTTATGGGAAATATGCTATTACTGGCCCTAAGATGACTTGTGACAGAGCAAAAAGGTATTACTTTTCTTCCCTTCTGTGAGGATTTGTTAATAAAAATGATAGAGTAGATAATTTCATCTCTAACATGGAGTCATTTCATCTAACCTTTCTCTTAAAGCAAGGCCAACTTGGATCGAGTTCTTAAAAGCCTTGTCCAGTTCATATGCTAGTAATGTGCAAGAATGGAGATTTCACCATCTTTCTGCGCAGCTTGCTCTAGTGTTTGATTGATGACAGTATTTTTTTTTTCATAATAAATAGCTAGAATATCCTATTTTTCAGCATGCCTGTTACCTCTAATTCACAGTGGTCCTCTAATAAGTATCTGTGTCTGTCTTCTTTCTATCCACCCATTAGATATTTGGGATGGCAGCAAGATCTCCATGTATCCTTTCTTCCTTGAGGCTGAACAAACCTGGTTATCTGCCTCTGCTTATATATCATGTGTTCCAGCCCCTTCACCATCTTGTTCAACCTCCACTGGACTTGCTCCAGGATGTCAGTGTCTATCTGGGATGAAGAAGACCCAAGCAGGACACACAACTCCATACATTTAAGGTGCAGTGAAGTATCGCTGTCATCTATTCTTGACGATAGTCTGCCTGGAGAGGACTTGAAAAACAAGTATTTAAAAATTTAACACTCTCGGTTCTTTATTATGAATTTAAAATGTATGTTTAGATGTTTTCTCATCAGTCCATTTATATTTTTGAGCTGTAACTGTATGAAAAAATTACTGGTATTATCTCTTCCTCCCACTCCTCCTCCTCTTTTTAAGGAATTTTAATTTATTACTTCATCAAAACTAACAATTAATCACAGCTTCCACACTTAAAATGCGTGCTTACATGTTTTTTTAAATTTAGTTGTATTTTCTTGCTTCAAAGATTAAGCTGAGATATGCAGATATGAATGTTCTCTTAGAGATTTTACCAGAAAACAATTAAATTATTAAACTACCTGAAGTGTAAACAGCTTATCTTTTCAACTTGTATTCTAGCTTAGTTCTAAGGCCAAATCTTTTTGAACATGATGAAAAACCTTTTTTTATCTCAGATTCACAATGATGCAAATTCCTTTGTAAACTTAGTGAAGGGAACGTGTACATTGTGGCAGTGGAAAAACTTCAGTGTCATCTTCATATGGAGTTGCTTTCTTTTGGACTACAATTACAAAAGCATTAAGAACCTCCTGTGTATTATTATGTTTAGGAAGTAGCTTTGAATTTGATGATTCATTTATTCACTTGTCCTGTGTATTACTGAAACCAGTGTAAAAATGAGCCATGTATGCTTAGCTGACTAGTATTTGTGCAGTGCCCTGACCTTTCCAATGATAAGAGTCTTTATATATTGCAGTTACTAGAAATTATGCATATTCTAGCCTTTTGCACTCTAAGATGTTCACTGAATTGGAGTCAAGGTTTGAGGGCTGCGAGTGGTGTTTCTTTCTCCTTTCTGTTTCATTGAAGACTGAAAGCGTTACTGCCTGTCTCCCACCCTTTCTTCTCTGTGTTTCAAGCACCTTAATCTTAATTTCTGAACTACTGAAAAGGAAAAATTGGAAGCTTTGTTTCCCTTTGGGGCTGTTTCCTCCTGTTTCATCCTCCAATTTTAGTTTTACTCTTGAGGGAATTTGGGTTTTGTCAATTCTGTAAGGCAATACATTGGTAACCTCCGGTCCCTGATAAGCTGTTGGGAACAAGGGAAAGTTGATGATGTCTCTGTAGTTTTTACTGACAGCAGCAGGAAATCACTGTAGAGGCTCTTTAATGTTCCATCCCCTGACCTTGCTCATGTAAACAGGATTTGTAGGAAGCAAAGCAATGTACTGTAATCTGGAAGTCAGAATGTCTGTGCTGGCTGGGAGATGTTTGCTGTTCTTTCTCTTCCAGCGCTATTTAACACTGAAAACATGACATGCTTATTTTTTGTTTACAATACAACTTCTACAAAGTTAAGACTGGTTTAATTATGGAGTGATGAAAGATAAGGATTGTTTTTGTTTGGATCAAAAAGAACATGCTAAGTTTTAAAATAAAAGGTTTATCTGTACTGCATTTGTAGTAGGTGTCTTGATGCAAAAACTAGAGGTATCTGTACTCTCAATTGGTCATGTACACATTGCTTTTGCAGTATGTATTTCAGTGTTTAGGGATTTTTTGACACACTTGTCTCTGTGTTTATTTTAAATACAAAAAACCATAAGCCCCACAACCTAAAAAATACCCTCTATGTTTGGAAAGACAGCAATTGTGAATGCAAAATTTGCATCTATGCTTCCACTTCTTTCTACATGAAGGCTTAGTTAACTATTCTTCCTCATGGAAACTTACTTTAAAAAGATCTTGGAGCAATGTCTCTTCCTTGCATGGCTTATTACAACTCCAGAATCCTGTAGGAGAGGATGACAATAGAAATTATGTCTTAAATGTTATTTTTTAAAAGCTAAAAATTCTGCATATTTTTCTTATTATGCAATGTCAAATTTATTCTGATTTACATCCTTTCCTGACTTCAGACTTACATGGAAATAAACACCAACTGTCTTCAGTGAGGTTAAAGGGAAGGGAAAAGGAAGAAAGGAAATAATAGCAATTTTATACATAAATCATCTCCTCTGGGGCCCAAGTCCAATGCAGAAGGGAACAGCCAGAAGAACAAAACCTATATGTCACTTCGCTGTGCAGAGTAGTTGCCTTTACTGCTTGCTGTAGTTCATCCAAAAGCCCAACAGCTTTCTGTAGTCTGTGGATATCAAGTTTTCTTGGGATCTCAGACATGTAACCTTTCACTTAAACTCTGATCATTGTGTGATATTCATGCATTTTTCTCTACGAAAAACAAATTCCAGCACTGTTCTCTTTGAAAGGGCGACTGGAATCATTGCCATTGAAGAAAAAGAGAAATGTCCTGGTTTTGTTCCTTGTCCAAAACTCAGCTGCCAATTAGAATGAGCTCTGCCTTGAGGATTGATCCCAACAGTAAAGGGGCTTTGATAAAAATTGACAGTTCCCAGCCTCTTCCATCACCTCACTTTTCTTGCTCCCAGACAGAGAAATAAGGAAGGCCAATCTCTTAATAGCTGTGGATTTTTTTCATATACTGGCATTCTTCTGGTTACCGGTAAATCTGTATTTGAATGAACTGCCAACTGCCTGAACTCCCAATCACAAACTAGAATGAAATTTGGAGAAACAGGATCTCTTCACACTATTTCCTAAATTTTGAGGTTGTGGTCTGTACCTTCTCTGTAGATAAGCATACCAGAAAACTCTCAAACCAGCTCTGAATCTTTCGTGCTAAGTCTTTTACAAACATAGAATAAATACTGTCAATAGAGGAACTCAGAAGTGTTCAGTGCAGCAGAATAAAGCTAAGAATTGTGCTTTTGTGTCTTTGCAAATGAATCCTTCTCTCTGTCCAATCTTGCTTTTAGACAGGCAATTTTTAGTGTCATCTTGGCTTACAGCACACTCTAGACAGACCTTTCTGCTCTTGGCGTGCTATGCAGGTACAGTGTGTGGGGCTGGTGGAGGAGGATTGACTGCCTGTTCCCCACAGTAATGGCCAATCTTCATGAACAAAGATCCGGGGAAGGTCTCTACACCTTCCAGCCTGCGCATTGGATTTTTTAGGTGAGACACAGTGTGCGTGGAACTGAGCCCACCCTTTAATCCTGAGGTTCATCTACTGGGGCCAAGCGAGCTTGGACGGTGGCAGCGAGGTCCTCAGGATGTAGATGCATTGCCTTACAGGGCTAACAAGCTCCATCTGCCCACGGAGTGTCCTAACCGGGAATCGAACCCAGGTCTTGGCGTTGACAGCGCCGCGGCCTAACCACTGCACCACCTATTCCCCACAGCTGTGCAGCTGAACACCTTTAGCTGCTCTCAGGGAAGAGAAGTCTCCCATTCCTCCCAAAGGCTGCACCTCATCCATCTGAACAACCATGAGGCAGTAGAGAGAGTTTTCTGTTGCCCAGTGAAGAGCCTTATAAAGAAGGTATGGTGTATGTGAACAAAATGACTGTCAGAAGTGCCAAAAAGACAAAGTGTTTTGTATATTGAACAGTGAAGTTCTAAACCTGCATTCTGAGCTGCTGTAGAGGTGCAGGCATTTTTAAAAAGATTTGTTTACTTAATCTTAAAAGCAATGCTTTAATACCACTAGCATCAAATAAAGCTTAAAGATCAAATACTTGAAGGTGAACTCAACATATGTAATGAAAGAGGAGTATGATCCAAATGGTCCTTGCATTTTACAGTGATGATATTCTAACACAGCATGTAATTGCTGGTTTACAAGGAGAGAGCAGGAAATATGTTGTGCCTCTGCATAATTAACTAATAATACATGTCCTGATGTTCCTTAATAGGCTTCATTATATTCTCTGAGTGAACTGGAACTTGAGAGAAAGTCAAGTTTTCATTGGAGACTGAATTCTGAATTGGGCACTAGAGAATGCAAGAATATTTCCTGTACTATTTATAGCCTGCTTTCCTGAGGAAATGTACCTTATGAGATTGTACCGTTTATTTGTATGTCACTGTCTGTCTCCCTAATAATTTTAGAATCAAATAGTTGGTGGATTGGTTTTTTAATGAAGTTTGGAAATAAACTTAGTTATAATATATATATAATAATGATATAATATAAATAAAGTTAGAATAATATATTATTGCTGTAACTTAAGAAAAAGCCAGTGGAATGTGACACTGAATTCAGTGATACTGGAATAGGCATGGACTAGCTACTGGTGACCCACCCTGTAAAAATGTCACAGCACACAGGGAGACAACTGGAGTTGATATAGAAGAGGAAGTTCAGTAGAGGGACCTAATAGGAAAAAATTACACCATTTTTGTGAGATAACTGCCTTTTTAGAGCTTGCAGAATTTTACTTTGTAGAGGGTCTTACTCATGGTAACAGTGCAGTGCTTCAGGAATGCTTTTCAATTGATCCATGTCTGTATATTGTTCCTTTAGTAAATTAGCACATTTCTGGGAACTAAAGGGATGGAAGTTCCAGGTATTATTTCTCTTTCAGTTTCCTGAGATACTTTACATGTACACTCTGACCTTGTCTGCTCAAGCAGTGTTCTCCTCTGCTTCGACTGGAAATCTAAGCTGTATTCACAGTTCTCACAGCTGATTCTGTGGCATGCAGAAAATGCCCGACAGCCATCAGCCCACACATCCAATAACAACTGGTTCCTTCCTCTTCCTGGGGAAGAGTAACATCCTCTGAGAAGAAGTGTCCCCTGAGGAATGCAGGAACAGCAACAAGCCTTTCACACAGGAAATTACTACTCTAGCACTTGTAAAAAAGTGTTTCTGTCACTTGGATTGTCAGTCTGTAATGAGCTTCCTGCTGACCTAGATGATGATTTAGTACTGATCTAAATGCCATTTTTGAGTCATTTAGCTTAATGGAAGTTAATGAAATCATTCAATAGCTCTGTTACCCTGTAAGCACCTGTTTTATTTTTTTTCATACAGTAACACAAGTTAAGTTTGGAACTTCTTAGTGTTCATGAGACTTTAATTCTAAGATTG